CTCGGTTTAAAACACAGGCCGGTCCGGCGGCCCCGGCGCCGCCGCTGTAGCCACCGTCGGCGGTGGTCAGAAACGAAGAAAGTAACCAAAGCGCGGTTCAATTCACAGGTCCTCCGCCTTGGACATAACGGAGAGCCTGCTAGGCCTCGGGTGAAAGTCGCCACGCCTTCTCTGCTGGTGCGAGGAAGGTCGAATCAACGCTGCGAGCGCTCGCTTCACGAGATCCCCCTCCACGCCGCGAATTCTCACGAGCGAGTTCGTCATCGCAGATCTGCGCGCGTTCAGACGGTTCGGCGAGTACGGCGCCGCGGCGGCGGCGTGGTTGCTCTTCTTGTGGAGGCTGCAGCGGAAGGAGCCAGGGTGCGTCGTAGGCGAGCACATGCAGGTGCGCTTCTGCTGGTGCGGCTTGCCCTGTCTGGACGCGGCGGTTCCCGGCGCCACCGCGATGGAGCGGTTCGGGGAGACGGAACGTTCGAGGGAGAAGCGGACGGAGGGAGCGGAGAGGTTGACACGCGTCGGAGAGGAGGCGCGGTGAAAGAAGGTGGTGGAGCGAGAGAAACTGGATGTGGAAGAGGCGAAAGCTGAGGAAGAAGACGATTGAGAGTGAGAGTTGCAGAATCTAGAAGAAGAAGAAGATAGGGATCCGATTAGTGCAGTTCTTGATTTTCTAGAAGCTGCCGCCATTTTTTCTCTTTGGAGAAAAATATCAATGGAAGGAAGAGAAGGAAAGTGAAAGAAGAGAAGGGATTCTTTTTTTCTTTTTTCTTTTTCTCCCTAAAGGCCGGGTTCGGCTCTCGGTTTTGGCAAACCTAGCTTTACTCAAGCTATGTATATATAGAAGTTTAAAGATGGGCGATATTTTCTGGTTGGGGTATTTACTTGGTGGAATTGTATTTGCACCCCAACCCCTTTGTTTGCGTGTTTTTTGTACTTATGGAAAAGGCAAGTAATTAGCGAAAAGTAAAGGGGGGAAAAGAAAAAGAAATAGATGTGGGGAGTGGGGAGGGATGAAAAAGCAAAAGTGAAAGGTTGATGGGATTGGGTTAGTTAAGCCTCTGAATTGCGATCCAACGGCTTTGAGATTGGCAAAGCTGTGGGCTGGGTACAATAATAAAAGAGACCGTTTTAATTCCACTGACAGCTATTCAGAGAGTACCCTTCCTCGCTCCCTCTCTATCTGCCACGTATCATCCATCACTTAATCCACTGCCGCTTTTACTTTTACGTCACCAAACTACCCTTCTCCCTTCTTTCAATTTCAATTCAATTTCAAACACACATTTATCGACTATCATATTTAATTTTAAATAAGAATTTAAACACTTTTTCAATTCCTTTTCAATCCTATTCTTTTTAAAGGAATCTTTTTAGTTATTTATCATTTTTAAATTTAACTAATATTAATTCTTTTTAATTTTTTTTTTTATATTTTACTTAACTTCTAATTAATTTAGACACAAAAACAAGTAATTTAGATATTCACAATTAATATGTACTTATTACAAAGCATAAATGAAACAAGTATAATAAAAAAAGATCAAAACTATTCTATGAGAAACAAAAATATTTATTAAGATATTTTTTGTTTCTGTATAGCAACTTTAGAAGATTATTAAAAAAAACAGAGATAATATGTCTTTAATTTTTGAATTTTAAAATATATCCTTTTCAAATTTAATACTCATTTTTATCCCATAATAAATGTTGTATCTAAAGAAAAAATAAATTTTAAAATAAATTATTTTAATTTTTCAATGTAATATTTACACCTCTCACAATTTTTTAAAAAAGACTTTTGAATTGTATCATTTTTTTTAAAGTAATTATAAGTTTAATTGGTAAAAAATATTTTATTTTATTTATTTATTAACTCTTTGAGGCCTATACAAAATAACCTGAAACAACACTTATTATAAGATAGAAGAAATATTAATTTATTTAATTTATATAATTATGTAAAAATTTATAATTAACACAATAAATAATGAAAAATTAAATTAATTATGTAATATTAATTAAATTTAATATAACACTTTTATTAATAATATTATATAAATTTTGTGTGATAAATTAAGTACTATATTAATTTTGTTTGAGAGATTTATCGACAATATTGTGAGAACCATCCCTCTCTCATTTCCCCTCTCAACTCTCACTCACTTCATTTTCACTCATATTCTCTTCTCCCCGAATTCCTTACCCATATTTTTGCTTGATTCTTCCCTTTGGGTGAGCTAGGTGCTGATCAAGTTTAGGCGGAGCTAGCTGAGCCATGTGGAGCTTTCTTTTTCTCAAGCTTCTTCTTCTTCTTCATTGTCTTCTTCTTCTTCCCGGAGCTCGAATTCTTCACACCGAGGTAAGGAAAGCTAGGATTCTTGCTGGTTTATTGATTGAGTGAGTTAGAAAATCACGGATTGTTGGGTTTTTCAAAGATTTTGAGCTGTTTTGAGGAAAACTCGTTTTCGGGGTTTTGGGTGAAATTTGGGGATTTGGATGATTTGTGGTTGCATGCTGAAAATGTGGTGTTTTTCTTATTTTTTTGATGAAAATGTGGAGCTTTGGGCCAATTGCATGTGTTTAGGATGTTGATCCTTGCAAGTTTTTGAAGAAATTTTCGAACTTTGTGAGTTACTGTTGGGTATCACGCGGGGTGTAGTTCTTGGCGCCGGGCGCGTGACCACCAGAGGACTCCATTAGGCAAGCCCACCGGGCGCAAGGGTGTGTGCGCCGGGCGAGCTTGAAAATGTGAGTCTCTGTATGGCCCACGCTGGACGTAGTTGGACCGCGCTAGCCGGGATATCAGTGAATAACAAAGGTTTTTGGATTCTGGTGCTGCGTCGGGTGTAACCACGTCTCGCCGGGCGTGGAGACTCCTTGGAAGTCTCTACCAGAGGTGGCGCTAGGCGCAATTGTAATTGCGCTGGGTGTAAGACCTTGGGGAGGTCTTTGCCTTCCCTACGCCGAGCGTGGGTTTGGGCACGCCGGGCGCGTGAAACTCCTTGGAGTCTCTACTTGGGTTTACGCTGGGCGCAATTGGAATTGCGCTGGGCACGTTAGAGCCCTGGTACTCTCTGGTTGGGCCACGCCAGGCGCGACCATGAGTGCACCGGGCGCGGATGTGTGTTTCCTTAACATACTGATATATGCTGATTTTAGCTGAATTGGTTGATATATGTTGGGCTGAGCTGTTATTGATGAGTGTTGTTGAGTTGATTGATGATTTTGATGTGCTATGAGATGTTTATGCTGAATTATGATGTTAAGTTGTATTGTTGTAAAATTTGAGTTGTGCCGTATGTTGTATGTTGTTAATACTTATATTGTGTTGTGCTGCATGCTGATATAAACTGTTGTAAGCTATAAGGCTGAGCTGTTGTAGGCCGTAAGACTGAGCTGTTGTAGGAGATCTCCGAGATGATATGCATGACGACGCATTGTTTGTTTACTACTGTTATTGTTGAATGATATGAGTTGCATATGTGCTGTGTCGTGTGTTGACCTTGCTGAATAAGATTGAATATATATATATATATATATGTTGATTCTTTTCACTAGCTTACTATTTGTTGTTTTCATGTGGTTTGGACTGCAATGATCATACTATGTATGGGAGCAGAGCAGGGTTAGGTTGGTGAGTTGAGACGGGTCTGCAACTGGGAGATAGAGTTTATTCTTTTGTTGTTTTCGGCTACTTAGTGTAGCATTGCTGGATGTATTTTGTATACTCTGATTCTTAGCCCCAGATTAGAGCTTGTGTATATATTTTAGCTGCTTATATATATATATGCATGCTCTTTTCTGTGTGGTGCTATGGTGTTGAGCTGTGTGTGGCGACCAGCCGGGTCGTTACAAATATTTAAGTATAAAAATTTAAATAAAATTTTTAAAACTAGAGAAAAAATTAATTTTAAATTTAAGAAAAAACAAATTTGCCTCATCTAAATAAATTAAAAACATATTAAGTCATTTATGAAGAAACACACATACTTATTCATTAAAGTTGAAAAAGAAGAGAAAAAGCATTCAAAATTTTCAAATGGATTGCTAAAACATTCAAGAAATATCAAGGGAACTTAAAAGGACAATGGTATCAAGAGTCGGAGAGGAAACATGCTTAAATATGATATAAAACAAAATTACAAAATTTAAGTCTAATTTATTTAATTATTACATGTTTTTCTTTAAATGACCTGACCTAAAAATTTGTTTACGTAACCTATTTTATATAAGGTATGTATAAATAAGCCAATAAATTTGTAGGCCTAAATAGGCTTACAAACTTAAATATTAAATATATTATTATCAGTAATTATATATATATATATAATATTTAATATAATATCATTTATATTAATTTTAAATAAGTATTATCATCAAGTTTATCCAAAAAAAATTAAAAGTAAAAAATTTACCTTTTTAACGTTAAGAAAACTTTTTAAAAATCTCATGACATTTTTAATAAACATATATTTGGTTTTGAATTCCTAAAACTTTTTAACCAAGTAGCAGACCTTGATTATGACAGGAAAGTCACGCCAATTTTTTCTAATTATATATATATATATATATATATTAATATTATATTTATATA